TAAGAAAGCATTCTCTTTTCAGTGTTTTAAAAGAGTTTGAAAAAGATCTATGTTAACTCTTTATATGTTTGGTAGAATTAAAAAGTGAAGCCACTTGGTTATGGACTTTTCTTTCTTGGGTGGATTTTTATTGCTAATTCAATATCCTTACTAGTTATAGTGCTATTCAGAATTTTTACTTCTTCATGAATCACTTTGGATAGACAGTGTGTTTCTAGAAATTTTGTCCATTTTACCTTGGCTAGCAAATTTTTTGGCATATATCTCTTCACATTCCCTGATAATCCTTTTTATTTCTTTAAAATTGACAGTAATGTCTCCAATTTCTTTTTTGAGTTAAGTAATTTGAGTCTTCTTTTTTTGTTAGTCTCTCTAAAGGTTTGTCAACTTTGATGGTGCTTTCAAGGAACCAACTTTCATATCATTGATTTTCCATATTGTTTATCCAATCTCTTTTATTTATCTTTGCTCTAACCTTTATTATTTCCTTCTTTCTGCTGGTTTCAATTTAGCTTGATCTTCTTTTTTCTAGTTCTGTACTCATACAATTCAGTTCCTGATTTGACATATTTCTTATTCTTTAATAGATGCAATTACAACTATAAATTTTCCTTTTAGCAGTGCTTTTGTTGCATTTTATAAGTTTGGTATGTTGTGTTTTCATTTCCATTCATCTCAAGGTATATTCTTCTTTCCCTTGATTTCTTCTTTGATCTATTCATTGTTAAAGAGTATTATTTAATTTTCACATATTCATTAATATTACAGTTTTCCTTGTTATTCATTTCTAGTTTTATTCCATTGTGATCAGAAAAGATACTTTATAAGATTTCAATAATTTCAAATTTATTGTTTTACTTTGTGCCTAATATATGGTCTATCCTAGAGAATGTTCCACGTGCACTTCAGTAGAATGTGTATTCTGCTGTTGTTGGGTGGAGTATTCTGTATATATCAGTTAGGAGCAATTCATTTATAGTGTGGTTGAAATTCTATATTTCTTTATTTGGTTGTTCTAGCCATTACTGATGGTGAGGTATTAAAGTCTCCAACTATTATCATAGAACTTTTCTCTTCAGTGATGTCAACTTTTACATGATATACTTTAGGGCTATATTGTTGGGTGCAAATATGTTTATACCTGTTATGTCTTCTTTCTGTAGTGTATGTTTTATCAAAATATGACATCATCTTAATCCCATAACTTGTATGATTTAAAGTCTATTTTGTCTCACAATGATATAGCTACTCTTTTGGTTTCTATTTGCATGGAATATCTTTTCTATCCCTTTACTCTTAACCTCTCTGCTTCCTTATATCTAAAGTGAATTATTTGTAGGCAACATACAGATGGTTCTTAGTTTTATTTTTAATCTAGTCTGCTAATCTATGCCTTTTGATTGGAGAGTATAATCCATTTACATGTAAACTTAGCTTAAATAGTATGCAGTCTGCTCCTATACATTTCCATCCCTCTCCCTTTATATTATAATTGTCCCATATTACATTTTTATACATTGTGTGCCTATTAATATAGATTTATAATTTTTAATGTATTTTCCTTAAATCACATAGGAAAAGCACAAGTTATAAACCAAGCAAAAAGTACAATAATATTGGCGTTTTTATATTTACCTATAAAGTTATATTTACTCATGCTCTTTTTTTTCCTTTATGTTTTAGAGTTTCTGTCTAGTGTCCTTTCATTTCAGCCTAAAGCATTCTTTGTAGGGAAGATCTGTTAATAAATTCCCTCAGCTTTATTTATCTAGAAGTGTCTTACTTTCTTCTTCATTCTTGAAGGATAGTTTCTCCAGGTATAGAATTCTTAGTTGACAGCTTTCTTTCAGGACTTTAAATATATTATCTAACTGACCAGTGGCTTCCAGGGTTTCTGAAGAGAAATCAGCTGTTAATCATACTGAGGATTGCTTGGAGCTAACAAATCATTTCTCTCTTGCTGCATTCAAAATTCTGTCTTTAGGCTTTGACAGTTTGACTATAATATGCTTGGTGTGGATCTTTCTATGTTTATCTTGTTTGAAGTTTGTTGAGCTGCTTGTATGTACAGATTTATGTCTTTTATCAAATTTGGGGAATTTCTGGATATTATTTCTTCAAATATTCTATCTATCCTTCCCCTCTGCAATTATCATTATGTGCATATTAGTATGCCTGATGGTATCCTACCAGTCTCTTAGGTTGAGTTCATTTTTCATTATTCTTTTCTTTTTCTACTCCTCAAAATGGATAATCTCAATTGAACTATTTTCTAGTTCCCTGACTCTTAATTATGCCTATTCCAATATGCTGTTGAACTCCTACAGTGAATTTTTTCCTTCATTTATTGCATGTTATGACTATAGACTATCTACATTGTTCCTTTTTTATAATTTTTCTTTATTGATATTCTCTATTTGTTGAAACATTATTGACCTGGTTCCCTTTAGTTCCATGTCTGTGGTTTCCTTAGTTCTTTGTGCTTGCTAAAAAAGTTTAAAGTCTTTGTGCCTCAGCTTCCTCATGGTCATGTGGTAGCTGGGCAATTTAATGGTAGCTAGGCAGTTTAAAATGCCACAGTACTCTCTTGGCACTAATAAGCCACTCCTTTCTTCACCATGTCTTCCAGTTTTGACTAGATTCCAGAGTTCTACAAAAGTTGATTCTGACAGTTTTTGCTGGCTCATTATTTGCTTCTGGGGAAGGACAGAGCCCTGGATTTCCCTACTTTGCCATTTTGTATGACATATGTTTGGTTTTTAAAAATTGTATGATCCCACTTACGTGAATTAGCTGGAAGAGGTAAATCCATGCAACACAAAACAGATTAGTGGTTGCCAGGGACTGGGAGAGGGGCTAATGGAGAGTAATTCCAAATGGGTACAGGGTTTCTTTTGGGAGTGATGAAAACATTATAGTGGTGAAGGTTGCACAAAAAGGTACATTCTAAAAGGGTGAATTTTATGGTATGTGGATTATATCTTAACAAAAAATCTTTAAAAATTTTTAATTCCAATGATTGGTAAACCCCTAAATAAACTGGGAGTCTCATAAGAACGGAGGGTGTACTGTAGATATAACTGTTTTTAGACCAAAGTCTCCTGCACACAGCAGACATTCAAAAAAAATTTTTTAAATCCAATAAAGGGGTGCTTACTAATTTCTTATCAGCTAACATCCTGTGTCTGCCAGCCCTTCTTCTATGTTACAACTCTACTGCAAGTTACAATTTCTCCTTTCAGGCAAAAGCCCTTAGGAGACATGCCTAAATGCCATGTTGTATATATAGGTCAGATTTTTAAATATAATTCAGATCTGATGCATAACAAAGTACCTGGAAATGCAATTTCAAAAATCATAAAATATGTAATTTCTTTTTTTTTTTTTTTTGTCTTTTTTCCGTGTCCGGCAACGGATCGCAACCCTCAGTGTCGCCCCCGTACCGGACCGGGACCGGCAACGGGATCGCAACCCTCGGCGTTGCTCCCGCACCTCGCTCAGCCAGTGAGCGGGAACCGGTCCATATGTGGGATCCGAACCCTCGGCGGGAGCGCCGCCGCACTTCCCAAGCAGCGCACTAATGCAGTGTGCCACCGGGCCGGCCTAAAATATGTAATTTCTATGTCTCAAATAACATACAGTAAAACAAACATACCCTTTATTCTTTAGTTCCTTCAAAATAACTAAAGATTGTGGTCCCTTTATGCAAAAAGTATTTTTTGAGTGCCAGACACTCTTACAGGTATAGAAGCTTCAACTTCAAAAGCCAAGCCTCTCAGATACTTTTACCCTTTCATTAATTTTTCTTGAGGAAATGGCTAAACAAACAAACAAACAAAAAAGTATACTGAGAAATATTAGTCCCATCTCTCAAGGATCTATGGATCCCACAGGAAGTGGCGGAGGATGGACAGGATATGTAATGTGTTCCATTTTGGGCCAAGAAGTCTTCTCTCTTGACACTATACACAGAAAAGTGAAAAATACAGAAGAAAAAATTCCCCTGTTATCTTGGGAAATATCGTGAATTGCATGTGTTACACACACGTTCTCTCTCAAACTCTCTTACATCTTTGAAAGAAATGAGGGACACACAGCTCTCAGTGATGTTCTGATAACATCAAAACCAATCATTTTTAACTCATCCAGGAGTATGCAAATACCCACCATACGAGCCCAGAAGTATGATTATATCCATATTTTTTCTCAGAAACATTCTACACTTGGCATATTTATAGCATAGTCAAAGCAAAACTGAATTAGCAAAAATGACGATAAGTATTTTACGTAATTGATATAATCAGCACAAAAGTACCCTGCCTGTCAAGCAGTTTAGATGGTGAGACAATGTTAACTCCATTCAATTGCATCAAGTTCACATGCTGCTTCGGCAGTGGGGAGGATATATTTTCAGAGAAGTAGCCAACCCAGACCTTTAAGTATAATTTTCTGATTTTTAAGTGTATAAAACTCAAATATAAAACATGAGGCCTACAAAACCAAATTTATCCATGCACCTCATGCAGACAGTAGGTCAGGATCCTCACCTCTACACAGAGAAAACTAATGTGGCCAAAGGCTACTATATGCACAAGCTTCCCACATGATTAGGGAAAACCTGCCAGTCACCTGGTCTCTGAGATGATCTAGGCTTCCTGATCAACTCTTCAACTTGCCAGATTCTTCAAGGGCAGCTCAGACAATTTCTCCCTCAAAAGCCTTTCTACACATTTTTAGGCCTTGGGAATCACTGGGCACATAAGCATGGATGTCCTGTATTACTATTTTAACTTCCCAGAAAGTGAAGATCACAGTTAACTACTCGCTGAATGTCTAAGTAATGAATGGAGCAAAGAAGTCTGAACAAGAGCTCCAAATAAAATGAATCATACCTCCAAGATCAGGGATAAGAATCGCCTAAGCCTAACAAGGCAACCCCCAGGACAAGAAAAGGCAATGGATCTTTCCTGCTAGAGCTGGAAAAAAATTTCAGAACTCACCTCGTCCCTGGTTGTCAAGAGCCCTGGGGCCATACTCTTGCTCTCCTGAGTGTTCTTCCCAGAGAAGAGTTAAGTTGCAGAGGTAGATCTGGGGAAAAGAGGAGAGAAGTGAGATGGGTCCTTGTGAAGAACATCTTTCACACTCTGTTTGGCCTCCCAATTCAGTACGGAGTAGGGGCACAGGGGAGGTAAGAAAGGCAGGTTGTAGAGGACATCAGTGCAACCAACTCTTAGCTAGCATCCTGTAAATAAAGTCCACAGAGCTGGACCCGCAAGCTCTGGTTGGGGAACAAAGCCCCTATCTTCCAGCAGCTGGGTGAGACTTTGTTTGGACTCCATTAAGAGAAAAAGGACTTAGAGTGCCCACAGGCAAACATTCATGAACTTTTTTTCCTGGTAATTGATGATCACCAGAAATGGTAAATATGTTCATACACAAACAAGACTATCTCTTTTTTTCTCCTAATTTCTTTAAAATACATACTGTTTATTGCAAAAATATTAAAATTACCTTCTGTGATTCATAGCATACATACATTCAATACATATGACAATTATAAAGGATAGAGAAGTAGGTGCCAGCATCCCCACAATTACAAGAGCCCTCGTTTTACATGAAGTGTAAACTCTAAATAGGCTGTGAAAAGTTAAATATACACTGTTATCTCTAGAGTAACAACTAGAAAAAAAATAGTAAAAATACAAAGCAGTATAGCTAGAAGGCAATTAAATTAGAATGCTAAAAAGTATTCAGTTGACCCAAAGAAGGCAGGTATAGGAACACAAAAACAGAGGAGGCAAATAGAAAACAAACAGTAAAAAGAGACCTAAATCTAATCATATCCATAATTACATAAAATAAACATTCCAATTAAAAGGCACAGATTGTCAGAAAGGATTTTTTAAAAAAAGCAGGACCCGGGGCCGGCCTGTGGCTCACTCAGTAGAGTGCGGTGCTGATAACACCAAGGCCGCGGGTTCGGATCCTATATAGGGATGGCCGGTTAGCTCACTGGGTGAGCGTGGTGCTGACAACACCAAGCCAAGGGTTAAGATCCCCTTACTGGTGATCTTAAAAAAAAAAAAAAAAAAAAAAAAAAAAAAAAAAAAAAAAAAAAAAAAAAAAAAAAAAAAAAAAAAAAAAAAAAAAAAAAAAAAAAAAAAAAAAAAAAAAAAAAAAAAAAAAAAAAAAAAAAAAAAAAAAAAAAAAAAAAAAAAAAAAAAAAAAAAAAAAAAAAAAAAAAAAAAAAAAAAAAAAAAAAAAAAAAAAAAAAAAAAAAAAAAAAAAAAAAAAAAAAAAAAAAAAAAAAAAAAAAAAAAAAAAAAAAAAAAAAAAAAAAAAAAAAAAAAAAAAAAAAAAAAAAAAAAAAAAAAAAAAAAAAAAAAAAAGCAGGACTCAACCATATGTTGTCTATAAGAAACATCCCTTAAAGATATAGGTCAGATGCAAAAAAATGGCTGAGAAAAGATATAATACGCAAAGAGTAAACATAACAAGGCTGGAGTGGCTATATTAAGATCAGACAAAGTTCATTTCAAGACAAAGTATTACCAAAGATACAAAGAGTTGTTTCATAATAACAAAAGGGTCAATTCATCAGGAAGATATAATAAAGGTAAATGTGTATGCATCTTATAACAATGCCTCAAAGAACATGATGCAAAAATTGACAGAATTCAACGGAGAAATAGACAATTCCACAACCGTACTTGAGGAATTTAACACCCTGTCATAGCAATTGATAAAATAACTTGACAAAAAGTCAGCAAGGAAATAAAAGTTCAAACAACCAACTTGACCAAACTGATATTATTCATTTGGTCACCACACCACAACAGCAGAATGCACATTCTTTTCAAAGGCCCATGGTACATTCAGCAAGACACACTATTTTCTGGGTTGTAAAATAACTCCTAATAAGTTTGCAAGGACTGATATTATACATAATTTGTTCTTTAATCTGAATGGAATTAAATAAAAAAATAAGTGACAAAAAGATATCTAGAAAAACTTCAAATATTAGGAAATTAAATACAGAATGGGCAGAGAGGAACTGGATTCATCAAGTGCAGACAATTTTTTTGATGACCTTCACTGTGTGGGGAGCAGGTAGATAGGGTAATGACTGAAGGAAGAAATCATGACACCGCTGCAGTCAAAACCCTGCAGTGGGCCCCACTGACCACAGAATGAGATCCACACTTACAGTCTTGGCACCCAAGGCTTTTGCCAATAATAGTCCATTCTCCTTTTCCCAGCTGAGTTTCCATCACCCCCCATGAACTTCCCTTTCCAGGCAGAAAGGACAACTCCTCTTATGCTCACAGACAATCACTCACAGAGCTGGGTGCCAAGCACTGTGTCAGTGACTGAGGAGTAGCCAGACAAGGTGCCTGTCCCTCAAAGAACTATCTCAAACCAGTGGGACACTCAGAGAATTGGGATGCACCATGCAAGCCCTGGAGTCCTCAAGTATAAAGTGCCCTGGGAGCAAAGGGGAGAGTGAAATTTACTATGCCAGAGAAAACTCTGGAATGCTTTACAGTGAACAAACATCAGTAGCAAGGCATCTTTTGGGACAAATGGGGAAACTAAACACTGAATATTAAATAATATTAAGGAAATTTTGTTAATTTTGTTGAGGGTGATCACTGGTATTGGGGTTGTTTTCTTTAAAGTCTTTATTCATAAAAGATGCATACCGAGGTATTAATAAATAAAATGACATCTGGGATTTGTTTTAAAATACTTCAGTAGAGAAGTGCCAGACACTTCACAGCACATTCACAACAGATCCATGAGGTTAAGTACCTTGCTCAAAGTGACTCAGCGGGAAGGCGCCGACCTGGGTTTGAACTGCCAGGACTTAGACAGCAGGCCCTGGCACATGCCCCCTAGGGAAACAGACAATTTCCAAAGAAATCCTCACTTGGGGCTGCAGATTTCAGGGGGAAAGAAGAGAGATCATTCATTGGTAAGTGATGAATCTGATTGATGAATCTGTGGGACTTCACAGCTACTTCTGGTTATGTCTGCAATATTTTCATACCGCAAAGTTAAGAATAAGAACGTAAGTCAGGACGCCTGGCCCCCACTCCCTTTCCCACCCCCAGTAATTCAGGGGGTCAACCCGCAGCCCACTGGGGTCTGGGAAAAGTTCCCTGGCCCTATGTGCACCATTCTACTTGCTCCACCCCACGGTTCCTGGAAGGGTCCCAGTGCTGGAGACAGCCACACGACGGCAGAAGCCTGCAATCTGGAGAGGGGGATGCCCAACGCAAGCCACGGATGTCTGATCTCTGCCAAGCCCTTTCCCAACTCACCGAGGTGCCGCAGAGCCCAGAGGGCCCAAGGCCACTGACCCAAGTCGCAGGGTGTCTCCCCATCATCCAGGCAAGTCTGGATGTCTGCCCTAAGGCAATCCTCCCCGACAAATCCGGCTCCTCGTGGCCAAGCTGCGCCTCCATCACAACGGTGTGAACCACCCAGCCACGCGCGCCCCGATAAACAAGCCGATTGATGCTTCCGCCACACGCCCCCACCAGTGGGGGTGTTTGCTCCAACCGGGGATGTGTCGCGTCCCCCCAAAACATACTGGCCCAGCCGCCTCCCGGTCTCGATGTCGGGCTGGAAGTGCCTCAGGCCGAACCTACACCACGGCCCCCAAAGCACGAGGGACGCACCTACGTAGTTGCCCGAGAGGTCGGTCCAAAGCCGGCCCCGGCCCCTCCAGGACGAGAAGTATACTGGGCCCCTAGCCCCACCCGGTTGTCGCGAGACAACGCCCCCTTGTCATCCCAGCACACTCGCCCAGACTCCCCCTCCGAAGTGAACCGCTAGCCCCCCAACCTGCACCCCAAAACCAAACATCAAGCAACACGCGGCCACAGCCCGATCTTCCCCCGCCCGCCCACGCCAGCTTCCACGACCTCCCTCCCCGCGGTGGGGCGCAGGAGTGGGGACTACCTGCGAGCTCGCCCACCAAAACCTCGGGAGGACGGTCATACGCGCCAGGCGACCAAGTAGGGATGCGGAAATACGCTGACCCAGACTGCCCCGGGGCGCGCGACTCCCCTACCTAGAAAGCCCTAGAGCGAGGGACTACACTCCCCAGAATGCGCCAGGGAGCGAGACTACACTCCCCAGAATGCGCCGGGGAGCGAGACCACACTCCCCAGAATGCGCCGGGGAGCGAGACCACACTCCCCAGAATGCGCCAGGGAGCGAGACTACACTCCCCAGAATGCGC